AGAGATCCACCTGCCTCTGCCTCCCAAGTGCTGGGATTAAAGGCATGCGCCACTACGCCTGGCTGACACACACCTTTAATCCTAGTCTCCATATTGAGTTCCAGACCTGTCAGGCCTGCATAGTAAGACCCTGTCTCAAAAAACAAAAACAAAGAGGAATGATCTGAGTGTAACCGACTGTGACTAGTAATAATCAGCTACACAGAGATTAAAGACATATGTGCAAATGTGTTAGTAGCATTGAAAATGTAGGACACAGCATATCTTAAAATGAAATAGATATCTTTTTTAAAGGGTAAAAACTCATTCAATTTTATGTCTTACAGGGTTTATACCGAGTTCAATATTTTATGACTGTATTAATTCAACTGTGAACCTAAAAATTTACAGCCACCTTTGAAAGAAATGTATCCTTGCACTGGAATGTGTTACTGAATATTTAAAGCTGTAATGAAATGCTTCTTCTAATCATGTGGTTAATAAAAAAAAAGTTCAAAGTAAAAAAAAAAAAAAAAAAAAGGACTGAGAGGTTGCACTGTGCAGGGGACAAGGCTCTGGAATAAGTCTACCAGTCTCCCCTGGGTGATGATCCTGTTTCTTCCTCTTCAAATCAAGACATTAGAGTGAACAACCTATAAGCCTTTTGAGAACCAGTGGAGACTGAGATGGGAATGAAAGTTTATGAGCGATTTCCCATGTCCAACCATTCATTTAGGCCTCACAGCAAAACCATGTGCATCCTACTTGGCCAGTATGATGGGTGTGTGGGAAGTATGGGGTTGGAGGTTGGGCATTGGGTAGAGATCAGGCAAGTCACAGACCCATATCCAGAGACTGTCTGCTGCAAGCCTCAGACCCAGAAGCTTCTTTCCACGGCCCAGCCTTTCTAAAACAAACAAGTGTATTCATTCATTTCACTGTTTTAAGTAAATCAGTGTCTTTAAAAAAATTATTTTTAGCCAGGTGTGGTGGCTTTAATCCCAGCACTCAGAAGGCAGAGGCAGGCAGATCTTTGTGAGTTTGAGGTCAGCCTGGTCTACATAGTGAGTTCCATCCAGGCTAGCTGCAGCTACAGGGAGACCCTGTCTCAAAAACACCAAAAAATTATTTTTATTTTTATGTATATGAGTGGTTTGCCTTCATGTGTGTTAGTGCACCCATGTGTGAAATGCCTGTGGATGCCAGAGGAAGACATCAGATCCCCTGGTAATGGAGTTACGGATAGCTATTAGCTGCCATGTGATTGCCTGGAAAGAAACCGAGGTCCTTGGCAAGAGGAACCAGTATTCTTAAATACTGAGTGGACCCTGCAGCCCCAAGTTAGTGTCTTTTGAAATGGACCAGGTGCCCCATTTAGCAGAACAACCTGAGATGTTTATTACCAATGTAGACTCTTGGACAGTCTCCAGAGGAAGTGAAGCAGGTCTGAGGCTCAGACCCAGACATCTGCATCAGAAAATCTCTGCAGGTAATTTGGAGTCACTTAAAGTTTGACAGCCACAGTTTTAAATGGACAATTTATTGTTCCCTTCTAACATAGCTTCAAATCAGTAGCTCATGGAAAATTTTCACCCAATATCAGGAAGATAAAATTTAAAAATAGTCTGTTTCTTCTTCCTGTTCTTTAGTTTCCTAGTGAACACACTTAGTTCCACGGAAAATGTTACAGTCCTGGAGCTGTGCTGCAGAAGAGATTCTCGAATTCAGTACAGGCTTTGCAAGGCATAGGCACTGATTAATCAAAGTGAAGGTTGGTTAGCATCCTGCAGAGCTGGGAAAGGGGTGGGCGGAGGAATCGGCATTAACTAAATATTTACTATGTGTCAGACACTGTTCCAGACACATTATGTCACTAAGTCACCCTAGACATGTGATTCAGTCCCTTTCATTTATAAATGGAATAGGTACTATTATTTGGTACTTATTAAAGATGACCAGAGAAAAGCACTTTGAGATGAATCATTCATTCATACAATAAAAATCTCTTGCGCTCTTATGCAAAACACAGAATAGAGCAAGAAAAGGAAATAGATGGGAGGGGGCATCGTGATACACGTCTATAATCCCAGCCCTCTAGAGGCTGGGGCAGGAGAATCACAAATTCAGCCCAGCCTGTTTTGCATAGTGAAATTCTGTCTTTACAAACCAGGGATGGAGATGCAGCTTCGTGTCCGAGCACTTGCCCAGGATTTATAAAGCCCCCGGTTCAAGCCTCAGCACTGGAGGCTTCAGGTGTGACAAGGCAAGTGGAGCCCAGAGCAGCTTGGGTAGGTCTGGAACCTGCCAGACTCAGGTCTCTGCCGCCTCCAAGCTCCTGGGCCAGGGGAACTTGGGGCTGATGGCTCGAGAGCCCCAGAAAGCCAACCTGCTCAGGCTGTGGAAGGTTGCTGGAGTGTGTCCTAGAATGGCAGAATGGGGCAGTCTCAGCCCTACCCCGCCCCCCCCCCCGTCCCCCGTTCCCCGTTTCCTTTCGCAGCTCTATGAGGAAGT